TTCTCCTTAGTAGGTAATAAAAGGTTTCTTCCCCCTTTTGTAACTTGAAGAAAATTTATAGTATGTTTGTTTCTCTCTCAAACAACAATCACAACAGCAACTATGGTTGCTGAAGAAATTATGGCTCAAGAAAGCAAATGTTTACTTTTAAACATGAGCAATTTTATATCTAATGCCAATGCCTGGTAAAGAGAAATTTATAACAACAAAAAATATGGCCAAAAACACTTATGTAGGTCCCTAAAAATCTTTAAGATTTCCTAAAAGTCTCCTGAAAGAGGCCTTTCAAAAATCCACCTAGAGAAATTATTTTGTTGTTTAAGGATGTGACTCAGTGCTTCTTCTGCCTTTGGATATGTTGTGACACATACGCATACACAGAAATTATAAAGACAAGACATTTGAATATTACCTGGATACCACCTTACCCAAAGAAATCCTATGGCCTAATTTCACTATATACACTCTTGAACACTTTCCTTCATTGAGTGCATAGAACACAGTGTAAATTCAGGAAAAAATCTGAAAAATATAAAGATTTTCCTGAAATAAACTTACACTGAAAGTCAAGTTTTTGTCACTAGAGATTCCACTGACTTTGGAGTTCCTGCTGACATCAGGGGGAATTCCCTACTCAGATGAAAGCAGATTTCTGTCCATAATCACTAGACCACAAGATAGTAGAGGTTAAGTAAATATGGTAAAACAGACTAGTGAAAAAGCACAGACACAGGGACTTCTATTCGAACACACAGCACTAGACAAAATATGTGTTCAATAAACATTAGCTACTGATATAATTATTATTAACAAGCATTGAGGAAATAGCAGTGCAGATTTTGAAGAAGCAGCAGATTACTTCCAGGTGAGGGAACTAGAGGACGCTCTCAAGACGAGAAGCCTTGAAAGATGTGTAGAATGGCAGCAGGCAGAGAAGAGGCACCAAGTCCTGCGGTTCTGCCTCAGCAATCTCTCTACTTTCTTCCTGCTCCTGAAACTGACACACACTCATCATTCCTTTGAACTCTCCGTCTCCACACATATATTCTTTTTTTTTTTAATTTTATTTATTTATTTTTTCCCCCAAAGCCCCAGTAGATAGTTGTATGTCATGGCTGCACATCCTTCCAGCTGCTGTATGTGGGACGCGGCCTCAGCATGGCCAGAGAAGCCATAGCTTCCGTGTGCGCCTGGGATCCGAACCCAGGCTGCCAGCAGTGAAGTGCACGCACCTAACCGCTAAGCCACGGGGCCGGCCCTCCACACATATATTCTTTAGTCCAGTTCATCCATAAGCAACTGGCAGGGTAATCATCTAAAAACGTAAACATGATCCTAAAGATTCAGACTGACCGAGGCTGGAATAACGGACACATAGCACAAAACAAGGAAAATATTAGCTTATAATGATACTTATTAAGTGTCTGTCCCTATGTAACACACTTTAATTTATACATAATGGTACTCAATAAAACCACACCACCAAATGGATACTGTTACTAGGCCCAGGAAATTGGGTAACTGAAGCCTATATTAAATAACTTGCTCGAAATCACACAAGTAGCAAATGAGAAGTTAGAATTTAAACTTAAGTAGTCTGGCTTCTGCTCAAATGCTCTCTGTATGAGAGTCACATGGCACCTGGAGTATTGTGTCAACTCAGTATACTACTTTTTAAATAGGTCATGAAAATCCAAATGAAGTCTGGATACGGATGACCAGGATTAACCTGGTAAATACAGCATATAAAGGTGAAATAACGTAGGGTGGTTAGTTAAGAAAAGAGAAGAATTTTTTAAAAGCATGATAACATTGAAAATATTGATTAATGGGTGTGCCAAGATGAACAGAAAAAGATCTTGGCTCTCCAATGGGTTTACTCCAAGCCTCTTGCCTTAATGGCTACATTATTGGAGAGAGGAGAGATTCAAGCTTTGGGGTTTTCAAAGCAGATCCAGGACCCACAGACGATAGTTACAGGGAAGGAGACTTCAACTGTATATAAGCAAGGACTTTCTAACCAATAGACTTGTCAAATAACAGAATTGCTCCTGATCCCCAGGCAGGAGGTGTGCAGAGATGCTAAAGGACAGGTCATCACAGATGTTATTCTATGAATTCAACTATGGTCTAGAGGGTGACTGAACCACGTAACCATTAACGTACTGTGACTGAGATAGGCTAGCTGTTTATCAGATCTGTTTTATCTTATCCTGGGTAACAGAGCTGTGATAGGTTTTCCAGCCTCCTTTGCAGTTAGATGTGGCCGCAGAACTGAGTTCTAGCCAAGGAATACTGGTATAAGTGATGTGTGCACTTCTAGGCCTGCCTCATAAAAACTCACACACGCCATCTTCCATGCTCCTTTCCCCTGATTCAGCTGAGCCTGGAAATAATGTTACAAATAGCGGAACCAAAAGAGGGTAGGATCCCGGGTCCCTGAAGTACCAAGGGCATGCTACCTCCTCACGGAAGCAGAAGCAAGAAATAAACATTTACCGTGTCAATCCACTGAGATTTAGAGAGGATATTATAGAGCAACATGATTACCTTAACTAAACCAGATGCCTTCCAATATGATTTATTTTTTATGCTAGAGTATAAATTATTTGAAACCAAGGAATAGCTCTTGTTCAACTTTGTAATCAGTAGGTACAACCTAAACACTTTGGACTCAGTAGGTATTAAATATATGCATATCGAATGGAAGAGAATATCAGGTGCAGGAACCAACATTCTGAGGCAGGAACGCATAAGGCTGTGTGGCTGATCATCTAATTTAGGAGGGGCAGAGGATTTCAGTGCGGTGGTAGTAGAAGCAGTTTAGGTAGCTATATATATATATATATATCAGCTATATATATATATATCAGCATGATTTGGAATAAATTTTAAAAATTCTACATGGTGCTTAATCCAAGTTATGAAAGCACAGATGGGATGACATTTGTCAAAAGATGCCTGTGGATGTTATGAAAGTCTCGGGGCTCACTGAACCAACATGGAAAATGTGAGGTACTCTTTCCAACTCCGTTGTTGGATGTTTTTAGTCCATGAGGGATATTGTTTCCTCCTGAGTTACTGAGAATCGATATCATAATTTTTATTTTTCATTTCCTTTGCTCTTTTGATGCCTCCCTGATCTGGCTGAGACCTGATATACCAAAATGAAATATCGGCAGAAATTGTGCTCTTGGAGATTCTCCAAACAGCACCAGAAAAGGAAGTGCCAGAAATTTCAGAAGAAAGCATGTTTTCATGAGATTTCCTGCCTTCCTTACATCTCAACATGTCCAAATAGTTCAGATAACCTTCAGTTGAACTCTAGGTTGCTTCACTCAGATTGAAATCAAGAGGCTGAGTTAAGGCTTACTCATTCAGCAAGGCGTACAATTTAGGAACTATAACAAAAAAAAAAAATCTCAACAGAAAGAGACATTGCATACCTAAATTCTGGGCCTGGCTCTTGATTAACTTCAGCCAGCTTTCCTGCTCTGGCACCTGGTATCAAACCATCCCTCTCCCTCAGAGCATCTCCCAGTGTTTATACCTTTCATTCACCACTTATCTCTGACAAATATTTTCAACAATACCTTCCCTGGAGAGGTCATCATTTTTCTATTATTTATTTTTAAGACTGAAAAATTCAACGTTTGTCTTACCTCTCTTACGAGCGTTATACCTAACTAAACTTAGAAATGCCATCTAATTAAAATCTTCGGGGGAATAAGAACACTTCCCCAATCAGAGATCTAGCTATTTAAAATTAAAATTCTAAGGTCGGACATTTCTTTGGGCGAGAATGCCTTTTATTTCCTTTGTCATCTACTTTCATCTTTGACATTAATAAATTCCTGGGTATGGCCATGTTGCTAATAGTTTAGATTTTGAGTCTCTCTACTTCTTTTCTAGAAGTCTTGTTTCTGATTTGTTGTTGTTTTGTTTTATTTTTCCATTCCTGGCATACTCTTTAGATTTCTTTGGAAAAACTGTATAAAAATCAGTTTCTCAACTAATACATTCATTATTTTTTTTGTTATGCTTGTTTTATCATAACTACTATTCATTTTACCAAAAGGTGGAGGTAGTGTGTAGAACCTACTACTACCTAAAATTAACCAAGTGTGTATCATCACAGATCTCTCTCTCTCTGATCATAGCCTAGAATTGCCTCTTCTCTCGCAGAAACACCGTAATATAAGCTCACACAATGGTTTATTTTAATGTTTGTTTTTACAAGAGTAGGAAAATATCAAGAATTGTCTAGAAAAATACATGGAAGCATATGCAGAAATCAAATTACCCATTGTAAAGAAGATAAAAATATTCATAAAGAAAATAAAAATATTGACAACATATTCAAAGAATCCCTATTCAAAGAACACAACAATATTACCAAGCACCAGCCTGCAACTTTCTACACAGAATTCCTAAACCCTTTCTTCTTTCCTTTGAAAGGCATGTTTGAAATTACAAATACATTAAAGTTTGTAGCCAGGAGGGGTTTTATGGAGACACACCATTACACACACACACACACACACACACACACATTATACACATCTCTGTTCAACCAGGGATCATACAGAAGAGAGAGGAAACTATAATTTTCCTCCTCTCCTTTCTGGTCCTTTCTTTCCTAGGCTGTTGCAGGACCTGGCAAGGATATTAGCTTAGGAAATCAAAGAAACGCCACCACATCGTATGGGAGTAAAACTGCATTCTTATTTGACATCTGGAATCCAATTTTCTTGTAGCGACTTGTAATAAGGATTGAACTTTGAGAACCACCCACCCCAACTGCTCCTATTAGCAGTCGAAAGGATTCCTGCCCTGATTTGGACATCTGAGGGATTTATTGTTAAGGTAGATTCCTTCCGATAAATCACAGGTGAGGAATGATGATGGTCCTCTCTCCCCACCCTAAAGTGAAAGGCGAGAGGCGCAAAAATCACCCGGGGGAACGGGCCACCATTTCCGATGATCTGTGCAAACCTTACCACGTATGTGCCACCGTGAAACGCCGCTGTTTGGGGATGTTGCTACTGAGAAGCATCCTGCGCAGGAGCCTGGGGGAATTTCTCGGAGAAATCACTGGAGAGAGCTTGGGAGAAACCGATTTCCTTGATGTCTTGGACTTCTCGTTCTGCAACAGGTTTTCCCGCAAGGATTTCACAAGATCCTCGTTCAGCCAGGGGTTTGGACCGTGCGGATTATCCACTTCAGGTACTGTTAAGGTGTCCGGGCTTGTCGTCTGCTGAGCCATATTCCTGGTCAACTTTGTACAGTTGGCAATAATCCAGGGCAGTGTGGTTCCCTGGCCTCTTTCCAGTGGTTGCCTCGCTCAGGGGACGGGGCAATGTCCGGGGAAGCAGGTCGGATCCAGCTGCTGTTAGTTCGTCGGGTCGCCTGCCTCAGTCTCTCCGTGGAGATGGGGCTGGGTGTGGACGAGGCAAGCACTCCTCAGCGGAAGCCTATTAAACGTCACCCCTCCCCTGCCGATCCCCTGCCGAAGATCACTGACGAGCTCGCATGGCAAAGGAACATGGAGGGAAGCCACTGCGCTAGCGCGGCTTTTGTCAGCGCTACAAAGCAGCCTGTTAAACTATTGGAACTAATGCGCCGCAGCTGCTCGAGTGACTTCTGCTTATGTACATAAAGAGTCCTGGGGGGAGGGCTTAACCATCAGATGCCTGCTGCGCGCTTGCTTGGCTAGTCTTTCCATTTGCTTATTCCTGAAGCCAAAGGAAAGAAAAACTTTGAACTTGACCTTCCTCTCCGGCAAGGGCTATTTATTTCCCCTCAGTCCACGTTCATAAAAGAAAACTGCTAGTCCTTTGGTTTTTATAAGGGAACAGTAAACAAGCACAGCTAGACAAGGAGAAATACTCCTCTGCTTGCTGAACTCAGCCTGATGCACCTTATAAGACAAATCCCGAGAGAATAAAATGGGCTCTTTTTTTCCTCTCTCTAGTTAGAAACCAAACAAAGGTTTCAAAATACTACATATGGAACACATTACAGGTTGCTGTTGTGTCTTACAACCTTGCTAATGATGGCCCTTTCAAAGCATGGACCGACACTAGTTATATGCACAAATGGTATTTGTTATCGCTTTGCACTTAAACTAAAGCCCCTCCAGAGGGACAGATTGTTTTCATGAGAGTAGTTGAAAATGATTTTAAAGTTTAAATTATTGCTTATGGTATATGTAATTTTATGTATTCACCTATAAAAGAATAAAATAAATCTAGCCTTTCATACTTAATTACCTTAATTGTCTTTTAATGTAAAGTTTTCATTGGTGATCAATTTAGCTTCAACAAACTTACTCAAAGGAGGTTTAAAATAAAAGAGAAGAAATTGTTTCTTGCCTATTTAGTTTGCTACTGGAAAAAAATTTTAAAGGTTACAATAATTCAAGAAAGTAAGTGATAAGCCCTGTTAAATCTATTATAGGACAGTAGAAGTGCCAACCTTGGAACTGGATTGGGAGGGAACCCAAACCTTTGAATAGACATGTCCCCAGCAGCCTGGTGATGCTACAGACAGTTCAGGATTGCAAGCAGAGTACATGTCTCAGGACCTAAGAATATTTTTCATTTTATTAAAACATAAGTAGGAATTAGGAAAAGCATGCAGATAAAATGGAGAATGGAACAGTCTGATTAGATTATCTTTTTGGCTTCTATGATTACTATTAGGTCAATTCTAAAAGTGTCTCCTCTCTCCCTCCTTGGTTGTTCCACCTTAAGTTTCAACTCCTTGCCTTTAAAATGTTGCAGAAAAGCATACTATGGGGATCTGTTCACAGAAGCACAGCATCACCACGTGGTGTACCTATAACAATTTAATGAAACATATGTGCATGACTTATAGAAAATCTGCTAAGCAAATATTTAAATTTTTAAAAAAATCTGGGTATAATTACTCTCATTCCTAAAGAATTTGCACCATTACAAAATGTTTCATCACTGTGCAACAGTAAGCGGCAAGCTCCCTTAGTTTAAAGAGTATATATATTTATAGGTATACATGTATATCCATATATACAAATACAGTAGTCCCGCCTTATCCCAGGGGATACATTCTAAGACCCCAGTGAATATCTGAAACTACAGACAGTACCAAACCCTATATATACTATGTTTTTTCCTCTACATACATATTTGAGATGCAACAGCAAAACGAGCATGAATTTCTTTTTCTTTCTTCACAATTCCACAGATAGAAGATTCGTTCTTACTGTAGATCTTAACAACCTTAGCACACAGGGTTTTTTTCTTTCCTTATTAAGTTGAGAACTTTCACCTTTTCCTTTAAGGGAAGCAGTTTACCACTTCTCTTTGGCATATCTGAACTGTCAGCATCACTACTCTTGTGCTTTCTGGCTGTTATTAAGGAAAACAAGAGTTACTTGAACACAAGCACTGTGATACCATGACAGGTGATCTGATAACTGAGACGGCTACTAAATGACTAATGGGGGGGGTAGCATATACAGTGTGGATACACTGGACAAGGTTCACATCCTGGATGGGACGGCGTGAGATTTCATCACGCTACTCAGAAGGTGTGTAATTTAAAACTTAAAAGTTGTTTAATTCTGGAATTTAATTCTGGAATATTCCATTTAATATTTTTGGACCACGGTTGACCACAGACAACTGAAACTTTGGAAAGCAAAACCTCAGATAAGGGGGGGGCTGTTGTATATGTATAATCATTAAAACAAGTAGCCAATTTCTGTAAAGTGGGCTGAGAGACTGACAACTGCATCAGGAGTTGTGTAAAACACGTGTGCAAAGCTTGCCCTCAAAGAGCTTGTAACTTAATGGAAAGCACTGGATGATGCTCAGGAAAAGACACCAGAACACCTAAAAAGTGATATTATCAGGCACAGAAAAATACAATGAAAATGGTTTGCATAAGAGAAGAAGGAATACTAAGATGGAGAAAATCTTGAAGAGGAGGAAGATCAAAAATTAATGGAAAGGAAGGTAAGAAAGAAGTGCACTCCAGGATGAGGAACCAGAATGTGCAAATGCAATAAAGAAGTAAGCAAGTTTTGTTAAAAAAAAAAAAAAAAAAAGCCTAGCAGACAGTAGGGATAAAACCTGTTCAGGTCTGTAGAAATAAAAAGTTCAGATAACAGGATAAAGTGAGGGGGGAAAAAATCCAGTAGGCAGTAAACTGACATGGCAAAAAAAAAAATTAGAAAAATTTCCCACTTTCTAAAGACTTAGTTCCATTCAACAAACATTTGTGGGCATTTATTTTGTGCTAGGCACTATATTGAATGCCCTAGGATATTTAAAGATTAGCTTGACGCTGCCTCTGCCCTCTGGGAGTTTATAATCGGGTAGATAAAGTACAGAACAACTGATAGGACAAGGTATAGCCCAAGTACCCAGATGAGAGCCTGAAGCTGGAGATATTTAAATGTCTGGCTTTAAGTAGAGAAAAGTGATTCTCAGTGACCAAATAAAGGAATTGATATGACTGAGAATGATCTGGGCCATATATTGGGAAATTCATTGAGTTCAGGGGATTCTAGGTTCTAGTTCTTACTTTCAGTGACCTTAAGAGGAGTAAAATATTGACAAGCTAATCTCATAAATGGCATGTCATGTGGATGCTCAGAGAGACTGGGCACTTTGTTGATGATCACAACTAAGCTAAAATGGAAGATATAACAATAGTCTATTAAAAATTCATTGAGGGTTGTGGTTAAACATGGACTAAAACTGAACAAAGGCATTCTGCAAAACACCCATTGCTTTGGTGCATGTTAAAGGATTCCACTGTAGCAGCAGAATTGTCTGCCTCTTCACAGGTCCCCATAGCCTATCATTATTTTTGCAACTTCCTAACATCTACAATTACCTTCCTGAATCCCCCAAATGATATATGGCATGCGTCCTGCTTTTCGAAAATAAAATTAATTTTGTTTTGAGAATTCTTTGCCACCCCCTTGAAATATAACTTGAAAAACCCTGCAGTGTTTCAAAATCATGTTTGAAAATCACTGCCTTAGGAAGCACAAATGGTATCTGAAGATAACCAAAAGTGGGTGAGGTTTGGATAAACTGGCAATTTGCTCTATAATAATGCAGAGGGTCAGAGGCACTCTTCCAACAGGAACACTACACAGCTTGCCTTTTTGAACAAAATTTCTTTAAAATTAGCTGCCAGAAACTTTTCTGAAAAACACAGTATTGTCAGTGACAGCCAAATAAGGCCTTAGGCTTTAACGAGTGGAAATTTGAAAGTGGGCAAAATGTTTTGATAAAGTCACCCACGCCTAGAACAGCAGATAACATCTCTTAACTTCATAAAAGTTTTCCTAGATATCTTTTTGTGTATTTTCAAAATTTGTTTTTTTTAGATTATTTGGAATCCTTGAAAATATTTAACTAATTATTCATAGGCAGCAAAACGAATAAGAAATAAGATTTTCATAGGTTCTGGGACAAGGATTGAAAAGTGTACCTTTGTCTAGGTCAGAAGAAGCAAGGCTGGATTTCTGAAAATTGAATGGGAGCAATGGTGCAGCTAATTCAAAAGAATAGATAAATTAAAATGATTTATACTTGACTGTGGAATGCATTGTATACTTCTCCCAACTATGTTTTAATTAGGTAAATAGCATGTTAAAATGAGACTGCTTTTTAAATTGCCCATAGGATGTTGTCCACGGAAATGATCTGATAGTGGGAGAGATTATGTTGTCTAGCAGTTGAGAGGGTGCGTTTGGAACCCAAAAGCTTGTTTTGAACTCTATGTATGACACTTACTAGCTGTGTTCTTTTACTTGTCTGTGACTTAGTTCCTCATCTGTGAAATTGAATAATGATGATAATAATAATAATAATAGCTATTGCATAAGAATGCTGCAAAGATTAAATGTTTTAATACCCATGACATCAAGTGTTTAGAGGAGTGCCTGGTACAGAGTAAACACCCAGTGAATGAAACCTGCCACTGGCTGATACGAGGAACTTACAGAAATTTACACTTAGCACATATCAACTACGTGCCAGGCATTTTGCATTTTATTTCATTTAACTCTTGCGATAACTCTTAGGGTGTTATTTCATGACCACTATTTTACCGATGAGAGCATAAGGAGGTTAAATAACTTGCCCAAAGTCATATAGTTCAACAATGCAGAATTGAGATTTGGTTGTCTATGACGTGCAAGAACTCTTGTTTCAACTCTATACCAAACCACCCCAAAAGGAAAGCTGATCCAATATCTAAAATTGATGATGGATATTTCTGTGAAAAATCATAGAAATCTGAGTACCCTGAGCTCTTGGTCTAGTTAACACTAAATTCTGTCCTTGGCTGCACTCCGGACATACACTGTGACAATCCGCGAAGCCTGCCAAGTCATGAAATTCTTACGAAGGCATGGTGTTCAAGTAAGGGCAGCTTGAGGTGGAATTCCGGAGTGTTTTTTCACCTATATGCCTGTACTCCTTTAATATGAAGGAGTTTTAAGCAGACTCCATGGTAGTTTTCCACTTTGCAAAATAACATATTCTAAAGTCATTTTATTTTGAATTTTCATTTGATTATTTTTCATTTAGAATGTATATCAGTATAAATTCTGATGATAAAATGATATCATCCCTATATCTAAAAGCATATCTGAACATTGTAGAACAGGGCTTTTAAAATCATCATCATCATTTAACTTTTATTAGGTACTGGGCTGGTTGGCAGAGATTAAAAAACTGTAAAATATCTGCTTGAAAATAGAAAACATATACAACCTCTCCAACAAAGAAGATAAATGATAAATATAAAATTAATAATAGAAACAATCAGTGCCAAGAGATTAGAGGAATAACCAATATATAGCTAGACCAATGGAAAATAACTTGAAGAAGAAGCAGGACTTGAATTAGGCCCCGAAAGAAGGTACATGTTGGAAGAGTAATAAGAAGATAGTTTGGGGGAAGTAGGTAGTCTCGGGGAGATAAGAGATGTTGGATTTTTAGACTCTTTTCCTATGGAAAAATCAGTAAAATTTAGTTGGGATGTAGGTAAATAATACAGAGAGAGATTTAAATAAGATTAATTTGGTGGCAATATGCACTATAATTTGGAGGAGGATGATTCCAAAGGCTGTGGATTTCAACAGTTCCATTTCGGTATAAATTTGTGCAGAAATGGAAAGAAAGGGACTAA